TATTTCTGGCAGTGTTAAATTAAAACCTAGAACACAAAGCAGTATACATACAATGGTTTTAGACATGTAAAATACATAAAAACTGTGGGAATATAATAAAAATATTTATTGGATTAAGGTAGTAGCTTCCCTTTTCTCAGTACTTTCTTTTAATACTATTCCTGTCAGTTTACTGTCATTAAGATTTATTTCAAAAGAAAGAAATAAGAAGGGGAAAGGAGAAAGACTATTGATTCCTACAAGCCCTTTCAATCCAAGGAAATGCTATATTACTGACTGATAGGTGACAAGAGGAGTGGGTGTCTGCAGTATTGCCAAACCAAGGGTCCCTGACCCCAATCTGCCTCAAAGAGAATACTTCTCAAGTCACAAAGCAAGTCATTCCCACTGAGCCAAACAGCACTGTGAATTCTTTCTTGCAAAACTTCGGAGGTAAGAACTTTTTTCAGACATCTGTGGAATTAGTATTAATGAGAATGCCCTGGAATTCACATACACGCCTATGCAGCAGAAACTTCTCAGCCAAGGAACTGTTGGGCACACTTCTTGATGAGATGTCTAAGCCTGAAGGCATCAAAAAAAAGTACATTTCCATATTGGGAACATAACTGGTTTCCTTTTTAAGACTTTTTCCACCACCTCCTGTCCACATTGTAATTCTCCTGTCTTCTCAAATGAATAGTTAACATATGTCAAGGATATAAGGCATATACCAAGGCACTTGCTCCTTAATTCTATTACTAGAAGAACCAATCTCAGCAGAAAATTGGAATCTTCCCATGAAGTTGCCCCAAAAGTGAAATTTAGTAAGCACCCTCAAAAAGTTAAATACTTTTAAGAAACATTTTTTGACATTATACATTTTATCTGTTTACCTTAGTCTCCGAATTTTTGGAAGGAAAGAACCAAAAGTCATACAGCTCAATCTCTTCATTTTACAGATGATAAAAAAAAGTGATGTACAGAGAGGGGAAGTGACTTGCCCTGAGTCACCCTGATAAATAATGATAAAGCTAGGATTAAAACTCAAATCTCCCAGATTTTCAGTTCATTCTACTACATCAAGCTTTTTTTATTCCTTGAAATCTCTGAAGCTCTTAGCCTAAATAATTAGTATCACAGAATTTTAAAGCTAGAAAGGACCTCAGAGAAACTTATCTAATCCTCTCATTAGGCATATGAGGAAACTGAGGCCCAGAAAGATTAAGCGATTTGCTCTCAATATCTAGACGGCAGGGGAAAAGTATAACTTAAGCTCAAAAAATTGAAAACTAATGGCCATAAGGGAGGAGAACGTCTCAGCCAGAGAAAATTTTAAGAGGAATGTAGATCATTCTAGACCAGGGGGTCTCAAAGTATGGTCCCTGGACCAGCAGCTTCTGCAACACCTGAGATCTTATTAGAAATGCAAATTCTAAGGCCCCAAGGGAGACTTACTGAATCAAACTCTGGGGATGGGGATGTTCAAATCCGACCACTTTCTCCCTGAGAAATGAACTTCAGTGGTCACATCGAGCCTATTTTGTAAATGATAACTATAATCAACAGCACTTAAAATTTATCTATTCCTCTATGTGTGTATATTACTTAAATTTTAAATGTTTTTTAAAATCTGAAAACAAAGTGGAAAACTAGATTTGGGTACTCAGTTGGTTCCAGTTCTGTCTCTGCTCCTTACCGGCTGTTTGTCCTTGGGCAGGTAACTGACCTCTCTAGCTTGTGTTTCCTTTTCTATAAAATAGGCATGCCACCTACCTCAAAGGGCATGTTGAGAATTAAATGTAAGGACATATCTGAAAGCACTTTAGCTCAGCATCTGGCACAGAGCAGGCAGGCAGTACAGCGCCGTGGTTAGGAGCTGCAGCAACGAGGTAGGCATTTTTTGTACCTCAGTTCTCTCATCTGTACAACAGGGATTTAAAACAGTACCTTCCGCAGAGAGTTTTCACAAGGATTCAGAGAGATGATGCAGGTGAGCAATGCAGCTTTCATATCTATAAAAAGTTACTGTTTTCAAAGAGCTTGTGCACCCATTAACTCAGGTGATCCTCACGACTTTCCATAAAAGGATGGGCACGTGTGATTTATTACAGACTAGATTCCAGGCTGTACCGTCTTTTACGAACAGGAGGAGTGGACATTGATAGAAAGAAAATTGCATGAATAATACATGTGGGGAATGAACAGAGCTGGAAATAAGGAGATTGGGATTCTGGCCTCAACTCTGCCACTACCTTGGCCTACAACCTCAGGGAAGTCCCTTTAACAGAAAGGGGTTCACTTTTCATCTGTGAATAAGTAGGTTGAATGAAGTTATCTATAACATCTCTCAAAATAAAATTCAACTAACACAACACTGTAAATCAACTAAACTTCAAAAAAAATACATAAAATAAAATAAAATTCAAAACTCCTTATCATAGCCCACAGGAGGGCCTACACAGTCTGTCATCCGCCTACATCCCTGACATCACCTATCATTCCTCTGCTCACTCAGGAGTTCCAGTTACATCAGTTCTCCTTCTGATCCTCCGACAGACTGCACCAGCTTCTACCTCATAGCCTGTGTACTTGCTGTTCCCTCTAAGGCTGATCATTCTGTACTTTTCATCAGTCTTTTAAAGTCTATTCTTGAAAAATCCTTCACAGGCCATATTATCTAACACAGCAGGTTCTGTCTCCCACTCCCAGGGGTTATTTTCTTTAGCAGCACTGTCCAATAAAAATATATTCAGAGTCATATGCAAGCCACATACGTAACTTTAAATTTTCTAGTAGCCACAGTGTAAAAGTTTTTAAGATGATATTAATTTTAATAATTTTCTTTAAGCCAACATATCCCAAGTATTACCATTTCAACGTAGAACCAATATAAAACTTAATATATCTTACAATCATTTTTTATACTAAATCTTGGAAATCCAGTATATAGTTTACACATGTAGCAGATCACAATTTGAACTAGCCACATTTCAAACGTTCAACAATCACACATGCGCAGTGGCTACCACACCAAATAGCACAGTTCTGAAGGCTACCCTGTGTATCCTTCAAAGCACTTATCACAATCTGAATTTCTCATTTGTTTACTCTCTTATTTTGTTACTTCCCCACCAGGCTACAAGCTCCACAGGAGCAAGAACTTTGTTTTGCTCAGCGTTGTATACTGAATGCTTATAGTGCCTTGCACAGTACATATTCAATAAATATTTGTTGAGCAAATGAATGAACCTCTGCTAGCTTTAATATTCTATGAGTCAGTGGGCTCATATGTATGCCAAACAGGATACAACCACTCATTCAACAACCCCCCTATTTCCTTTCTTCTTTCACGGTCAAAGCTGTTTTAAAAAGTAAATCACTTGGCTATATATTTCCCATTGTTTACAAGTTCTTTCCCACTTGGAGATGTCTAGAGTCTCCAAAGTCAGTTCTATGTATACTGGCTGAGGGAATAAATGCATGAATAAAATTGTTAACATTTATTGAACGTTTACTCTTTGACAAGCATTGGTCTACACACTTTATATTTTACAACAGCTTCACAACAGACTTACTTGGTAGGTACCATCATTTCCCCCATTTACAAGATGAAACCAAGCCATAGAGAAATTATGTATTTTGTTCAACGTTACAGCAGCCAATTAGCAGCAAAATAGAGATTCCAAGCAACATGGGACTACAGACTGATGGCTCTTAGTCACCTATTCTCTACTGCAGACCTGTCCCATGGGAATGTAAGGCCAGCTATATATGTATGTTTAGTAGCCACAGTAAAAGACCAGTAGCTACAGGTAAAATTAACTTTAAACATATTCTGTTTCACCAGTTTTACCCATATATGACCATTTAATCAATATGATCAACAATCAAAGTAACTGATAGGATCATGCAATCAATATAAAAATTTTACCTTTTATTCCATACTAAAATCCAGTGTGGTTTTATACTTCGATTACTTCTTTGTGGTTTTACATTTTGAGTACTTCTCAATTCAGACTAGTCCCATTTCAACTGCTCAACCTATGTGGCTAGTGGCTACCATACTGGACATTTAGGAAGTCAAAAGAGGGGGGCTAGGAAGGAGGGCATAGCTCAGAGGTAGAGTGCATGCCTAGTATGCACAAGGCTCTGGGTTCAATCCCTAGTACCTCCATTAAAAATAAATAAATAACCTCCCCCTCACCCCCAAAAAAGTAAAAAAGATAAAATAAAGAAGAGGGTGGTTAAACTTTGAGCTAACAGCCAGAAGACTTCAGCTCTGATCCCAGCTCTGACTTGTTGAGCAACTTTGGACAAGTCCTGTCTATCCTCTGGGCCACCATTACCCCACAAGTACTCTGAGAATGTGGGACAAGAAGATTCCTAGGGACCCTTTCCATGCTAAAATGTCAAACGTCTCCCAACAGGACCCATCTCATGCTGGAATTTCAAACATCTCCCAACAACTGCAGTTAACATGGGTCCAGCTTGCTACACTTTAAAATCAGCTTTCAGGTCCATTAGTTGATACAGTCCTCAAACAACCCTAACAGGTAGCTCTTACTGTCTCTGTTTTAAACATACAAAAGCTGAGGCCCAATGAGGGCGACATGACTTCTCCCAAAGCCACAAAGCCAGTCAGTGGAAAAGCAAGAAAAACCAGTGCTCTCCCACCACGACCACCAACTGGGGACAAGAGAGCAAAAGGGAGATGGTTGTGCAAACAGTCTGGGGCCTTCAGAAGAGCTGAAGGGAGCCAGGCCCTAGGGTAGGGTGAGAAGGGGCCCAGACTGGAGTTGAGAAGAAGGGGCTCGGGCCTTGGGAAGGAATGAGTTGAAAGGGCCCAGAAGAAATTCGAAGGAGTGACGTGAAATGAGAGGCTACGACCCGGGTGACATGAGAGGTGAGGGGACCAGGGCCTGCGGCTGAGGTGAGAGGAAGTGAGATGAAGGGACCCTGGTCCTGAGACTCCTGTCCGGGTAAGGACACGGTCCCCCAGCCCTCCTCGTCCCTCATACCTGGTAGCTCAGAAGTTCGCCCACGTCCATGGTTCCAGGTTCAGCCAACACCGGCTACTCCAATTCCCTCCACTCACCACCAAGCCGCGGACCCCTCAGCAGAGCCTCCAGCCACACTACCGCAAAGCGCTGTGAGCGGGGCAGCAGAGCCAATGAGGTAAAAGTGAGAGCGACGCGCGAGTCAGCCACACTGCGGTAAAAGGCAGCGCTACCGTAAAGCGCGCTGCACTTGACGCCACTACTTCCGCCCGGAGCCTGAAGGGGCGGGGAAAGGGGCGGAGACTTGAAGGAGGGCGGGGCTGTAAGAAAAGACAAGAGGAACTAAGATTTACTGCGCTCCCTCTACGTGCAGGGCGGAAAGGGTTTGCTCTCACAATCCATTCAGTGACTAGGCAATTTTATCATTTTTTCCTCACCTCACAGATAGGGAAACTGAGGCATAGAACTGTACTATCCGGTACGATACCCACTAACCACATGTGGTTACTGAGGGCTTGAAATATGGCAAGTCTGAAATGAAATGTACCTTAAGTGTAAATAAAATACCCATTGGATTTCTAAGACTTGATTACATGTCGAAATGATACTTTAGATATATTGAGTCAAATAAAATAAAAGATTAATGTCACCCATTTCTCTTTACTTTTTAAACGTGGTTAGAAGAAAATGTGAATTACATATGTGGTTCTCTTTGTGGCTTCCATTGTATTTATATTGGACACTGCTGGCTCAGAAAGTGTATTTTCCAGGGCCATACAACTATTACTGGCTGCAAAACTGTTGGTGATCACATTGCCCTCTCTGGGCTTCTGTTTATTCATCTGTGCAAGGTCCAATGAGAACTGGATGATCTTGTTCCTACCCAAGTGAAGTAAAAAGGTTTTCTGTAGGAAAAGTTGCCCATCCTTGAAAGAGAATCATTCAAAGAGTGCATCTGAGCTCCTGGGATTTAAACAAGGCTCTATCTTCAAAGGATGTTAAGCCTCTCCCTTAGTCCCCTTAGCCATTAGTCCCCTGCTCTTTGTGTTCATGATATTTGTCTTAGTCTGTTCAGGCTGCTATGAAAAATATATATACACTGGCTGGCTTATAAACAACAGAAATTTATTTCTCACAGTTCTGGAGGCTGAGAAGTCCTAGATCAAGGCACTGGCAGGTTCATTGTCTGGTGAGGGCCTGCTTTATGGTTCAGGGACAGTGTCTTCTCACTGTGTCCTCATGTGGCAGAAGAGGGTTAGGGGTTTTCTCCCACCTCTTTTATAAAAACACTAACATAAGGCTCCACTGTTATGACCTAATCACCTCTCCAAAGCCTCACTTCCTAATACAATCATCTTGGGAGTTAGTATTTCAATTTGTAAATTTTGGGAAGACACAAACATTTCAGACCATAGCAATATTTACAATCATTCTCCTCATCTCATCTCCACGGTCTCCAGTTATACAGAATTTACTTTTATTCCTCAAAGCCAAATCCTCTTCTCTTCTGCCAAGCCACCAGCCCCTATACCTCAACCAACTCCTTCTCACCCTTCAGGTCTCAAATGTCACTTTCTTAGAGTAACCTTCCTCAACTCACTTTAGTCCAAGTAAGCAACTTCTCATTATTCTCTTTCCTAGTACCTTCTCTACTGCACATGTATCTCAATCTGTACTTGATGGTTGATTACTTGTTTACTGGTAGCTTCATCTACTGGACACAGGCTGGAAGTGAATTGTATATGTCATGTTCACCGTTATATTCTGGTACAAAAACTCCAATAATACAGTGCCTGGTGTAGGGGGAGGTTCCACAAATGGGCCTTGTGGGTCATGGTAAGTAGATTAGATTTTACACTAAGAGCATTGGAAAGATCTTGAAAGGTTTTAAGCAGGGCGAGTTTGGTGATTGGGTTTATAGTTTTTAAGAATCACCTGTGCAATCTGCTTGAACTGAGATATTTGAATGTCTTTT